GACTGGGGCGCGGCTCCGCAGCCCGCCTCTGCCTCCGGGGGCCGCCCCCCAGGCGTCCAGGGGAATCCCTGACCCGCGGTCTCCTGACCACCCCCGCTGACGCCTCTCCCGCCCTCCTCCCGCGTGCGCAGCGGGAGCCTCCTGTGCGGACGTGGGGCCGGGCCGAGGCGGCGGGGCGCGGGTCCTCCGGGGCCGCCACTCCTACAGCTAGTGCCGCCGACCGGCCCTCCAGCACGGGCCGGCTGAGACCCTAGGGGCACCCTTGGGGACCGACCGCGTGACGCTGATTGGGCTCCTGGGGTAGAGCGCGCTGGCCCGTGCTGAGCACTGGCAGGCGGGAAGGAGGAGTGTGTGGCCCGCGGGTCCTGGGGCGCAGCGCGAGGACACACACTGCGCGCACCGAGCAGGCCGGGCGTCCGGGCCCGGGACAGTACCAAGCAGGTTTCCCACGGGAGCATTGCGGTTTTGTCGTTGGTGCTTTGCGGGTAAAGACAGCCCAGGGCCTCCTCGCACAAGCCGTGCAAGCTCCTTACCTCCCGCCTCATCTGCAGCCTTGTTTTTACCTCTAAGACAGCTCGCTCTGCCGCCCAGGCTGCAAATCCTTTGTGTGTGAGACAGAGTCTCACAGGCTGGCCTTGCGCTGTGTAGCCCAGCTGGCCTCAAACTCACAGCCATCCTGCCTCAGCCTCCCAAGTGCTGGGATTACAGGTGTGTACTACCATGCTCGGCCAGGCTCTAACTCTTGGGTTCAAGGGGTCCTCCTGCCTCAGCTTCCAGAGTGCTGACCACAGGCGCCAGTGCCACCGTGCCAGCCACTTGCAAGGGGTTTAACTGACAGGTTGAAAGCAGGCAGGCCTGAATCCCGAGGGTGCTGCTGCATCTGAGGGGTCCCTGAAGACCCTACACAGCTCAGGTGGGTGTGGGCATCCCTTGGGGGAGCCCAGCAGCTAGATCCAGCCTTTCTGAGGGGAGGTGGTTGCCCAGCAGACAGCTGGTTGGTCACTTGAGGAATTGGGGGTTGGGACTTGAGCCGCTGTGGCGTGTGGGCAGCGGGGCAGTGCAGAAGAGGCGGTGGGGACCGGGCAGTGCTGATAAGGGCCCTTGGTGGGAGGTAGCAGGTGACCCTCTCCTACCTGTGGCTTGTGGAAAGCCTGCCAGGGCTTCCGGCATGGGAGCCCCGCCGCTGCTCTGATTAAGTTAAACCTATACTCGAAATTATTTTTTTGTTTGTGTTTTTCAGACAGTCTCACTATGTAGCCCAGGCCGGCTTCATACTCACTAGGATCTTTCTGCCTCAGCTTCCTGTGCTTCCAGTGCTGAGATTACAGGCATGTGCCATGGTGCCCAGCTCTGTAGTGACTTCTTATAGTTAAGAATTTTAGCTGGGTATGAGGATGCATGCCTATAGTCCCAGCCCTTCGGGGACTGAGGCAGGAGGATCCCCTAGAGTTTGAGGCCAGGCTGTAATATGTAATGTGTTGGGGTTTTTTTGTATGGGGAATTGAACTCAGGACCTTGTGCTTGCCAGGCAGGCGCTTATGCCACTGAGCTATATACCGGCCCTAAGCCTGTAATATGTAGCAAGACCCTGTTTCAAAAAAATTCACTGCAGCTCTCCACTGTGTCGTTCTGCACAGGCTACCACCCGGCGGACGTAAAGGGGCTGCTGACCCAGGAGGTGCTGGTCAGGGTGCTGGGGACGCAGGCTTCCCCTCTGTACGTGGTTCGCTTGTCCGTTTGTGTCCGGGGTGAGCCCAGCCTCGGTACAGGGGGCCTGCCATACAGTCCCTCCTTCTGAGGGGCCGGTCACCTGCTGGACAGACCCCTGCCCGGTCTAAGGTGTGGGGGGTGGGGCGTTGTTATCGCAGGGCCCGGTCTTCCCGGAGGTCTGCAGCGCCAGCAGCGACCAGCAGGGGGCAGCAGAGGGCAGGCTGGCCCAGGGAGGGGCCGAGGGCTCCTGATCCGCCTCTCCCTCCCCACCTGTGACCTAAAGCGGGGAGGCGGTGGGTGTCCTGCTTGGGATGCACGAAGAGCGCACCCCCGAAAGTGTATGAGGCTTTGTCTGTGGGCTCCTCATTCCCTCCGGCTCCTCTGCCGGGGTAGGTGACCCCGCAGGCGGGTGGAGGCACAGCCCCGCCCACACCAGCCTCAGGACCCTCCCTCTCCCTGTGAGCCCCGGAGGCCGCAGCTGGGCCCAGGCCGGAAGCCCTGGCAGGCTTCCCCACCCCGCAGGGGAGCGGGGTCCTCCGCCACCCCCACCCAGGGCCCTTGCCAGCACCGGTGCGGACCCCACCGCCTCTCCTCCGCTGCCCACGCGCCACGGAGCTGAGTCCCACCCTCTGGGCCGCCCGTGCAGCCACCAGCCCCACAGGGACTCCAAGCCCCTCCCAGGTGCCCCTCCAGCTGGGGCACGTGAGATGGGCACCTCGGCCCCAGGGGGGCTTCAGCCCGGGCTCCTGCTCTGCTTGTCCTTGGGGGCAGGCAAGGTGCCCTCAGCTGCCACTTAGAGCAGGGATGCAGCAGCCTTGACAGACCCGCCCGCCTGAGACAGTCCCATTCGCCTCTTTATTGTCTGTGCCCCCCGCTGTGGCTCGTCGTGGGGTCTCCAGGCTAGAACTGGGGACAGAGTGGGACCAGGGTGCCTCGGTGATGGCGTTCACAGGGCCCGGGATTGGGCTTCACAAACCGCTGACCGGATGTCCCTGGCCGCCAGAGCTCCGCCTCCACCTTCTTCCAGCCAGGCTGCTCCAGCGGAGTTTGCTCTGGGCAGAGAGGGGCATCCTCAGCCCCTTTCCTCTTTGATCAGCCTGACTGCAGCCTCACACAGCCCTGCCCCGCCCACCCCGCCTGCCCCTCCAGTGCCCCCGAAGCCCACCTGTCCCCCACAGCCCCCCAGCGTCGCCGCTCCTCCCTCCTGGCTTCCTAGTCTGTGGCCCTGGCTTGCCCCAAGGTGGCCCATGAGGCCGGATGCTGCTGGTTTGGTTGCATCATGCCACCCTGCCATGCACCAGGCCTCCCCAGCGGGCAGTGGGTGCTCAGGCTTGGAACCAGCCCTCCAGGTCCTCGTAGACCTGGCCTTGGGGCAGGTAGGGGTAGCGGGCACAGATGGCACAGAAGCGCTCCCGCCAGTCGGTGAGCAGCTGCACACGCAGCCGCTGGCGCCAGGCAAAGAAGCCTCGGTATCGGCTCGCGTTCATGCCCGTGAGGAAAGCAGCGAGCTCCCGGGGGGAGCTGAAGTCATCCACATGCACGAAGGCATCGGGGGGCACGTAGGCCTCGTAGGTGGCCCGCGGGGGCCCCAGCACCACAGGCACAGCCCCGGCCCACAGTGCGTTGCGCCAGAACTTCTCCGTGATGTAGTCTCGGTGCTGAGAGTTCTCAAAGGACAGGTAGAAGTGGTACCGGGCCACAGTGGGCACCAGACAGTCCGTACACAGGGGCCGCCCGCTGGCACGCCCAAACACGTCCACCTGCAGGTGGCGCACCAGCTGCCGGTACACCTGGGCACGCCGCTGCCGCTCCTGGAAATTGCTGACCACCCAGGCGGCCAGCCTGCTCTTGGGTGGCAGTGGGGGTGCGGGGCCCGAACGGGGCTCCAGGCGGCCGTAGGGCACAAAGATGTCTGAGTCATTCCTGTAGCTCAGCACCCAGTTGAAGATGCCTCGGAGGCGATGGAGCCCGTGCGTGTGGCTGGGAGACTCCATGGAGGCCCAGACCCAGGGCTGCCCAGGCGGCCGCTGGGCCAGAGGCAGTCGGGCCCGCTGAGTCTGCAGCTCGCGGTGATGGAAGACCACCACACTGGCGCTGGCCAGTAGGCTTCGGTTAGTGCTCAGCACGCAGTGGGCCATGCCATAGCGGGCACAGGTGTCACCTGGCAGCTCTGGGGGCTGGTCTGTGAAGGGCCAGTGCCAGATGAGGATGGTGACCGGGGGCTGGGGTGCTGGGGCACCCCCCGGGGCTGGTCCCAGCAGCCATAGGAGCCAGAGGGCCGAGAGCATGGCCCCCACTGCCAGGCACCCCCAGGCCCGAAGCCTCCGGGTAGGGCCTCGCCCTGCAGCAGGACAGAAAGACAGGCTGTCACCCCAGGCTTGGAGACACGCACAGGTCCCCACACCCCCCCACCCCCGTCCTCTGGACGGCAGACACTCACCAGCATTAGTCATCCAGAGCCTCCTGCAATCAGTCACCCCAAAAATCCAAGGTTCTCAAATCACAGCAGCCACCCTGGCAGTGGCGCCCTGAAATCACGGCTCCGCCCAGACTCAGTGGGTGCCTGGAAGTCCTCCTCTTTCATCTGCCCAAGGTGAGGGCAGCCGGGAGGCCTTCCTACTGCAGCCCCGCCCTGCCCCTGCCCCCCAGCCTCTGGCGTCAACCACTGTCCCCACCCCCACCCCCAGCCGCCAGGAGTGGGGTTGGCGACAGGAAGAACCTCAAGCCAGGCCCCTGCCCACCCTTGCCAGGCTCCAGACAGCCCCAGAGACAACTGGCTGGGCACAAGGGGGAGGAGGAAGGGGCCCACCTCCCAGGAGAGGTGCCATGTGGGCACCCTGAGTGTTGGCCCTTCCTCAGACTGGCACCGCAGGCGCCACCTACACAGCCTGGGTGCCGAGCGAGAGCAGGTGCACTTCCCTAGGGGGCAGCAGCCCCTCCCTGTGGCATCACCCACTTCCCTGCTCCCACCCTGTGCTGGCCGAGGTCTCCCAGGCGCTCAGGTGCCGCAGAGGTGTGTGCTCAGCGATTTCAGGAGGCTGAGGTTTCTCACGGGGCACTCCACCCCTCCCCTTTCCCCTCGAGGAGCTGCCTTGGGCCCTGAATCCCGATTCGGGAGGTAGAGGCACCACAGGGTCCTCTAGAGCTCAGCACGTGCTGGAGGGGCAGACCCGAGGGACGGGCCGCTGCGCCTCCCCTGCCGGGCCTGCAGGCCAGGCCCCAGGCCCCCGGTGGGATAGAAAGGGCTCCACTCACTGACTTCCTTTTTGCAGCCCGGGGAGGGGGCTTTCCAGGCTGGAAAGGGAAGGAGTCGTCCTGTCCCTGATGCGGACGAGCAGGGCTGGCGTCTGTGCCGGGAACAGGAAGAGAACATGCAGCCTGAGGTCCCCTCTCCAGTCAGCCTGGTGGCCGGCTGGCCGTGGAGGTCAAGTTCCTTCCCCTTTTACCCGGCGCCTCTGAGTAAGAGACGCAGCAGTCCAGGGAAGCCAGTCTGGAGTGGCCCTCCAGGTCACCTCCCAGCTGAGCTGCTCCCAACGGTTTTTCAGACCACCTGCTCTGCATCCTGGGACCCCACATCCCCCCAGGTACAGCCATACTTGGCCACATGTGGTGCCGGAGCCCCCAAGCCAGAGGTCCCAGGAGGGGCAGCCGCAGGTGCTGTTAGCTAGGTCTGCAGCCCCAGCCCTGCTGGGCCCCCACACTCCACTGAGCCCCATGCTGTGTCACCCAGGGGCCCCAGGGAGCTGCTGTCTCCTTCAGCGATGGCTCCACGGGAAGACGAGAGTGCGGTCAGGACGGGAACCAGGCAGCTGGGGCAGAGTGTAGTGGGTACGGGTGAGCCTGGGGCAGTGGCAGTTGCAGCCCCCCACGCCCTGCGGCTCGCCTGGCTTCCAGGCTGCGGTGGGAAACTTGAGCAATGGCAAGGAGGGCGGGCGGCTGCAGAACGGTCCGAAGCAACCTGCCAGCCCAAGACAGCCTTGCCGGCCACCCTGTGTCGGAGAGATGCCTGTGGGGTGCTTGTGCCTGTAGCCCCTCCCCTGGCATCTCTCCTCACAGGGGACCCCAGGGGAGAACACCCTGGCTTCACCCCACCTCTTCTCTCTGCATGTCTCCCCCGCCTGCCAGCCCAGGGCCACCAGCTTCTGGTTACCAGAGCTGCTGTCCTTCCTGTTTGTGCCGCCAGGCTGGTGAGGCCCCGTCTTAGCCTCGCCCACGCCCGCAGCCGGCTCCCTTCCTGGGTGGACTCGAAGGAGCCTCCCCTCCCTCTGCCAAGGTGCCACTGAGCTGCTGCCCAGCTTGTAGTGGGTGCCCTGTGTGTGGGAACCTGGTAGCCCTGCAATGGATCAGAAAAACAGGGAGTGGGAGAGTGTGACTCAGGGAAAGCCGGGGGGCCTCCACCTGCTGTCTCCTGACTCCTGATCCCTGCCAGGCCTCCAGACTACCCCAGCTCTCAAGGACACCAGTGGGTACCCAGCCCCTGCTCAGCAGCCCAGGGGCTAGCAGAGTCAGAACCACACTCTCTGCCCAGCCAGGGTCTCCTGGCCACTCCAGGCTCCCAGGGGGGCACACTCAGCCGAGATGGAGGGCAGGTGGTGGGCTGCAGGCTGCTACCACTGGCACACAGCAGCACCCGGACTAACAGGGGAGTGAAGGACTTTGCCCCAGCCGGAGAGCCTCAGGGAGCCAGGTGAGCCTGTGCTGAGCTGGGAGAGACCCAATCTGGGCACAGGGGCCCCCTGGTGGCCATGGCCCAAAGCGACTGGCTCCTGCTCCTGCTCCTGCTCCTGCTCCTGCTCCTGCTCCTGCTCCTGCTCCTGCTCCTGCTCCTGCTCCTGCTGAGCAAGCAACCAGAGAACACTTTATTTTGCGTGAAAGGATGGGGCTGGGCCCACTTTCAGGAAGAGGGGTGTGTGGAGAGACGGGAACTTGTAGGCTGGCAGGTAGCCTAGGGGAGCCCGCTGGCCCAGGCAGCAGGAGGTCAGTCCTTCAGGACCGCCCAGGGTGTGATGCTGGGGCCCTGTGGTGCGGGGCTGAGCCAGGCCTGGCCCCTCCCAGCAAGCCCAAAGTTGGGGAGCACACACTCCCCCTGAACATCTGCAGCCTTCAGGCCAGCTCCAGGACCTGTGGGGTGGGGAGCTCTCCAGAGACTCATGAGGCACACCCCGCTTTGCATGTCTTTTTCTGTTCTGCACCAAGATCCACTCCCCGTGCCGCATGGCTGGTAGGAGGCTGCAGCTGGGGCAGCAGCACTGGGGCCGCCCACCGGGCTGGTGCGTGTGGGTCTTGGTGCAAGGGGAGGACACTGTTCCCAGACTCTGGTGCTGGGGTTCCCCAGGGCCCCGTGTTCCGGGCCATGCATGGTCTTTCCCCGCAGTTGTGCTGAGCAGGGCACAGCTCCCAGGCCTGTGCTGGGCTGCGGGTCATCGCCCCTGGCCCGTGCTCTGGGAGGCACCAGCCGGGTTCTTCCAGGGCACTGAGCGCAGCTGTGCCACACTGGGCTTGCTCCAGTGAGAACCAGGCATGGGAGGCTCAGGCTCGGGGGCTCTGGGCCCCAGCAGGGCGTCGGGCTGAGGTGAGATTGGCCTCTTGCTGCTGCTGGGGAAAATGACCTTCAGCTGCACAGGGACACGGGGATGAGGACAGGGCAGTGCAAGGGTTCCCAGGCGCTGATGCGGAGAGAAGGGTAGAGGCTACTGTGGCCTGGCCAGACCTCGCTAGGACCGGGCTCTGGGCACTGAACGGCAGCCCATCTGCACCTGTGCCAGTGGGAAGAAGGGCTGCTACTGAGCACTGCGTGCAGAGTGTGGACACGGATGGGCTGAGCCGCACGGGGACCACCAGGTAAGGGCCCCGGAGGGCACTGCCACCCTTCTCCAGCCACGAGACCCTCCAACAGGGTCTCTGAGCGTGAGAAGACGGGCCTTCGGGATAGACTGCAGACTCCCCAAAGGTCCAGAACATGGAACACAGCAGAAGCCAGGCGTGGTGGCGCACACCCGCGATCCCAGCACTCAGAAGACTGAGGCAGGAAGATCTCCAAATCTATCCCAGCCTGGGTGACAGTCCCATCTCAAAATAAAAAATTTTACACCAGGCTTGGTGGTGCACTCCTGTAATCCCAGCACTCAGAAGACTGAGGCAGGAGGATTGCCATGAGTTAGAGGTCAGGCTGGGCTACATAGTGAGTTCAAGGCTAGCCTGAACTACACAGCGAGACCCTGTCTCCAAAAAAAAAATATTTTTAAAGAGCTGGGGCCTGGTGTATAGCTCAGTGGCACAAGCACCTGTCTGGCAAAGGCAAGGTCATGAGTTCAATTCCCAGTACCAAAAATAAATAAATAAATGGCTGCTGATGTGGCTCAGTGGGAAGGCCTTGGGTTCAATCCCCAGTACTGCTAAATAAGTAAATTTTTAAAAAGATGGCACATGAAAGGTGGCTGCTCTAGACCCCAAGTGGCCAGCAGGGCAGGTACCCAAGCATCACCTGCCTTGGTCTGAGCCTAGACTCCAGGGAGCCCTGACCCAGGCCCTGCGGGCACTGTGAGAGAAGCAGCCCCGAGTGCCAAGTGCCCTGCGCCCTGGAGGAAGGCCCCAGCCTCTCTGCTCTGTTTCTGTCATCGCCCAGACGGCTCAGGTGGGTGACGCTGCACACGTGTGCCATGCTTGGTGCTCAGCCCCTGCCCTGCCCCCACCCCACCCCAGTGCTCAGAGACTGAGGCTCCCACCTGGGAGCCCGCCCAAGGTCACAGTGGAGTGGAAGTGCAGGGTGACCGAGGGCTTCCCTAGCCGAGGGGGCTCTGGCCCCTGAAATGTACTTCTTAGGACAAACCAGAGCCCCCAAGCAGGGTGACCCCATTCCTGCCAGAGCATCATCCATTCTTTCACTTATTTATTTTGGTTTTTCTTAAAGACAGGGTCTTGCTATGCAGTTCAGACTGGCTTTGAACTCACCACATAGCCCAGGCCAGCCTTGAACTCAAGGTGATCCCCACCTTGGCCTCCCGAGTGCCGGGTGTGCACCACCACGCCCAGCTGCCCCATCCACTCTGGAGGGCCCTGCCCATTCTAAACTACTTGCCCCGCTCATCTCAGGGCTGTCCAGGACCTGGATCTGCCCCCTCCCCACCACTGAGGGGCTCTCAGTGACCCTTGTTCAGCCCCATTCGGCCGAGTCCAGCCCTAGGTATTGAGAGTCCTGGGTCCATGCTGGAGATCTCAAACCCCTCTGCCTGGAACACCCACTATATACTGCAGGAGCCCAGGTGGACGGCAGGCAGAACAGTGCCACTGGGTGCCATATCCAGGTGTGGCGTCCAACCCTCTCCCAGCCCTGTTCATCCCACACATGGGGTCTTCCAGGAGGTCAGCACCTGGACCTAACTGCACCTCCCTCCCCAACCGCAGGCCACAAGTGGGCAAGGGTGAGGCCACTGAAGAGAGTCTGGGTGTCCTGTCCAGCCCCCGGCCCCTCCAGCCAACCCTCTTCCTGGGGCACAGATGCCTACTTGGGGTCCCAAACTGGGGCGAGGTGGCTGAGGATGAACTGAGCCTCCCACACAGCTGGAACCACAGGCGTGAAAGGTACTTTAATTGGCTTTTGTCTCCAGAATTCCCCACCGGTGCCCGGGCTCTAGGGTTCCCCCGCTCCTGCCAGCGTAGGAGGTGCAAGGAGACCAAGGTCTCCCAGCCCGTGGCGGGGCTCTGTCTGGCAGGGGCCCTGGGCCGCTGCCAGCCACGGCACTGGCACGGTGAGCAGCGTTCTCTCCGAGGCTCCTGCGCCGTGGGCAGCGGTGAGCAAATGGCAGGCACAGCCTGGGTCATGGCAGCGGGGGCGGTGAGCGGGGTTCTGGCAGGGGCGCCGGCAGCGAGGCGTGGTCAAACAGAGGATTGCGCACCTCCATCTCCCCGGTCTGTGGAGGTAGTTCCAGTAAGGGTCAGGCTGGAGAGGCCCAGCTGGGGAGCCCCAGTCCCTACCGGGGAGCCCCCCTGTGCCTACCGGTGCGAGGCCGGGACACTCGTATACGGTGAAGTCGCCGTCTTCATTCTCCTCGTCTGAGGAGATGGACTCCAGCTCCTTGGGCGGCTCCTTGTGCCTGGATGAGGGCGGGGTCACCGTGTCCTCCCACGCCCTCCAGGGACGGAGGCGGGCACTGAGTGCACCCCGGCGGGGGGCGGGGCACGGGGACCGATCTGCAGGCGGGGGGGCGCTCACCTCTCCAGGCACAGCATCTGCTGCCTCTGGTGCTGGTAGTGGTACATCTCTGCGCTGTGCGCCAGCCGCTGGTCCCCAGGCTGTGGAGACGGGGGCGGGCAGGGTAGAGGGGAGGCAGGCGGTGGCTGGAAGTGTGCAGCGGGCAGCAGAGCAAGGCCAGAGCATGGAGGGGTGCGGCCAGAAGGGACCCAGGTGGAGGCTGTTGGGGCGTGGCCAGGGGCTGGGGGACAGGGGCAGAAGTGGGCCACACACCGAGATCCGGGGCGTCCTGGGCGAGCTGGGTGCCTTCGCAGCCGCATAGTCAGCCTTCCGGGTCAGGTGGATCTCTCGCTGCAGCCTGCGGGAGGAGAGGCTGAATCCGTTGGGTGGGGGGTCTGCTGGCCCCGCCTGGCCCGGGCCTGCCTCTCCCCGCCCGCTCCCAGCTCACCTGCACCAGCACAGTGTGGCTACAGCCAGGGCAGCAGCGCCAGACACGCAGAATACCACCAGCAGCACTGCGGGAGGGGCGTGGTGAGGGGTGACCCCGGAGCCGCCTCCAGTGACCTTCCCACCTGCCCACCTCAGCCGGCCACCTACCAAGGGCGAGGCCATCGCCACGTCCACCCCGGGGCTCCAGGGGCACCATGTGCACTGGCCTAGAAGACACTGGGGAGCCCAAAGAGGTGCGGGGTGTGGGCGTGGGGGCTCCCCGAGGAGAGGGCAGGCCGGACTCAGGTCTCTGACCACGCTCTGAGAACCCCAGGGTAACTGCCGAAAGAGGGGGGTTTGATCAGCAGGACCAGGAGGCTGGCCTCAAAAGTGGGCACAGAAAGGCCAGGCACGGGTCTCACCAGGCTCCAGGAGCCGAGGTCCATCCTCAAGGAGGGGCTGTGCCATAAGCTGTGAGTGCTCGGCCTCCTTCAGCGCCAGCTGCTGGGCCAGGAGGTCGATCTCATCTTCCAGCCGAGGCGGGGGCGGCCCCTCCCCTGGGGATGACAAGGGCTGTCAGGTGCCCTGGGGACCTGGTGCCAACTCCAGGGCCCCACTGCAAACCGTGTTGCTGTGAGGACGACTGGCAGCTTCCAGACTTCAGGTTCCCAGCAAAAGCGGAGGCTGGAGGAGAGGAAGGAGTGGGGTCTCCCCCGGCCGCATCCGCAAAGAGAAGGGCAGGACACTAGGCCAGCACAGCCATCCCTGCCCACGCCGGTGACCTGCTCTGGCACAGCAGGGGTGGGGCAGTGACTCCCCAAACATGGGCAGAGGCTGAAATACAGCTGTACATCAAGGCTGCCCCTTGGGTGGGCAGCACAAGGGATGGCAACACAGGGGACAGCTGGTGCTGGACTCCCACCAGTCTGCACCGTGGCTGCCCTTCAGACAGAATCTCCTGGGTAGACACCCATACACAAGCTCAGGAGCACAAAGACAGCAGCACCCCTCTCCAGTAGTACCCCCTCTGTGCCAGTCACCTCACGAAGCCTCTGCCCCTCAGCAGCTCTCTGTAAAACCCCACCCACCTGAAGGCATGGACTCAGCCACTGGCCATCCTATTACCTGGGGACAACCGCATTGCCCAGGACGGTGCTCACGAACACCTGTTGGGGCGTGGACATTGCTGGGCGGCCCCTGAAGGTGAGAAGTGGGATCCTCCGGGGCCACCCCAGCAATTCTGACCCTTCCTCTCCAGAGGCTGCCCACCCAGCGCAGTCTGATGGCCCTGGCTTCAATCCAGCGACCCAGCTCCAGGCCCTGGAAAGGATGGCAGGGCTGTTCCCAGAGTGAAGTGAGTGGCCTGTGGTACCCAGAGGACCTGGAGGCCTGGTCAGGGGGCGAGGAGGCCGCCCCGGCCCTGCACTTGCCCATACTCTGCGGGCTCTCCCATACCCTGTGGCTGGCGCATCCTGGGCACACACAGCCCACGCTGGTCCTCTTGGAAGTGCTGAAGGCAGGGCCCGCAGGCATGTGCACCTGGGGGGCACCTTGCACGCCTCTTCAGGGCACAGTCTAGGCTCCCGGGGCAGGCAACTGCATCTGGGAAGGAAGCAGAATCAGGGCGTCACAGCCCTCTGGCTGGGGCTCCCCTCCCCCACAGCGCTGGCTGGCCTGGCTCGGCCATTGTTCTGGGCCGGCAGGCCTCTCCTCCGCCCGCCAGGACTCAGAACCAGGAAGCAAACAGTTCCAAGACTTATGGGAACCACAGTGCCCCACCCACTCCCCAGAGTCCATCTTCCCTGCCTGAGCAGCTGTCCACACAGAGCCTGGCCGCAAGCTGACCCTCACCATCCAGCCGGAACAGGCCTCTTCTGAGCAGGACTGTGCAGCCCCCCTAGCTCTGGTCTCACGGTGCCCCAGAGCAAACTGGACCCTCCATCCAGACTGGGAGCTCCAGAGGGTCGGCCCACTCACTCCGGCTGGACAGCAGCAAAAGGTGCTAGGCGACTTCCTTACCCCACGTGAGGACCCCCACTCGGCTCCGCGGAGAGGACTCAAGAAGACCCCAGAACAAGGGCCCGCTGGGAGGTACTGCCTGCTGCTAGTCCTCAGCTCAGGGAAGCCACCAGGGTTGGCTGGACCCACGGTCTCAGGAGGCGTGGGCTGGGCAGTGCCGGGGACCCCAGGCCAGGCCCTGGTCCTGAACCATATTGTTATCTCCCTGACTGGGGATCCAGCCCATGGTGCCCTGCTTACACAGCCATCAGTCCTATCATTCCGCCAGAGCACAGGACAGGCAGGCCCTCGGCCTCAATTTCCCCCTTGGAATGCAAAAGAGGTTCAGGTGCCTCAAAGTAAAGGAACATCTCCAAGTGGGGACACTGGTCACAGTCACAGCAAGCCCAGGGGACCCAGCAGGACCATCATCTCTGCTCGGGCCAGCCCCCACCCACACTGTAGGCAGGGCCACCGGGGCCCAGAGTGACGTGGAGGATATGCCCTTCTCCAGACCTTGGCTGGCCTAGCTTGGTTTCCTTGGAAACCTGACACTCCATGGCTCCAGGCTGCGGGCATCTTGCAAGGAAGTCCCAGCAGCCCCAGTGGCAGGTGGGCACAGGCTCCATGCCAGGCACACCTTTCCCAGTATCACATCAGTGGGCTGGGCTCAGGCACAGGCCAGTTAAACATTAAGCCTGTGCCAGGAGGCTCACCTGGACCCACCCATCAGCTGGGCACCAGGAGCAGACAGGCCCTGGCCCTGGTGCTGATAACCCAGAGTGCACCAGGCCTGCGGCAGAGGCCTGCAGGGCAGGGCTGGCTCGGGATTCTCAGGGCCTCCTCCTGAGCCCTCTGGCCCCCAGGACTGGCTGCTGCTGGTCTGGTCTTGGCCTGGAAGGCCCCTCCAGCTTGCAGTGGGGTATGAAGTCTCAGAAGCAGCAGCAGCTGAAGAGTGGCTGGGGCTCTGCCCACACCTGGGCTACCAAGGGTTCCTCCCAGGCACTGGGCATGAAGATGCAGAGGCTGATGGGCACTGAGGATGGCACCTGTCACCTGTTCCTGGGGATCACTGCAGCTGCAGTTGGGAGCCATGCTCTCTGAAGGCGGCTCCAATACCTCTAGCCATCCTGCTCTGCCTGCAGGCCTCCTCCAGAGCCTGTAGTCGTGTCAGCCTTTTATCCAGGCTCTCTATTCCCAGGAGGAGGCCTGCCCACAAACGCAGAACAAGATCACTCAGGTTCCCACCCTAGTTGTGCCACATCCCAGGCACTTGACTTTTCTGGGCCTCAGTATCCTCGTCTGTAAGCTGGATGAAAAGCACGTCTGCCACAGGGGTGCCAGGAGAGCTCAGTGAGCCACAGGACAGTCTCCCAGGCCCAACCTGGGGCAGTATGCTGGACCCTGGGTTCCTGCAGTCTTACGCTGCCTGGACCCTGTGCGCCCATCTGGGAAGCAGGAGGATCCCCCAGGTCCCTGGGCTCACCCTTCTCCAGAATCCATCCACAGACCTTAGTCCAGAAGGCAGGGCAGCAAGTGTCCTGGGAACGGGGACGGTCGGCCTCCACTGAAAGAATGTGACCCTAGGCTGGGACCCTCGGCCCCTGCTGTGGGAGGCAAAGCCGGTGTGTGCTGGGCTCCACCTGAGGCTGTAAGACAGACAGCCCTGCACTTCGACCAGGGACACCTCGGGAACCCAAGACACACAGACAGAAACGACAGGTCAGACCCAAGGCCTGCTGGGACCCCAGCCTCGCTCCCAACGAGGCAAAGGCACGAAGCGCGTGGACTCCTGGCTGCTGGGGCTGGGCTGGGCCGCCCGGGAGCCTTCAGCAAGGCCATTCACCCCGGCTAGCGGGCCCGATCCTCGCGGCCTGCACCCCGTGGCCTGCACCCCACGCCCGCGCCCCGCGCTC